CAAACCGACCAGGCTGCAGTGACCCCAACAAGCCGCAGTCGTTAGGAGGCTGGATCTGGATCCGGTCGCTGCCGCTGCTGCTGGTGCTGCTGCTGCTAACACAAAGTTTCGTCACTTGCAGACTGGGTTTCTCAGTACCTTTATTCAGTCATCCGCTCCCCTGCTGGTAATCTTTTCAGCATTGCATACTTACAGTTTTTGTCCTAGCTCATGAAACTTGATGACGGAAATTAAAACGATAAATTGTTCGCAATAAAAATGCTGCAAATTTTATTTATTCGCCTAGTCTATTCCGGGAAATGTTATGTTTGCATGCAAAATATGCTTGTAGATAATGTTATCAGTCAAAATGTTCACACATTTGCGCAGAAGTCTATGTCACCTTGTATTTCGGTGATTTTCTATGCTACTAGCCCATCCCAGACTACGTTTGCGCATCCGCGCGTGTATCTAAACCTTCAAAGGTCCCACAATTATACGTTCTTTAACTTATTAAAGCGTTCTTGTTTCTGTTTCCTTGGTGTTTATACACAGCCCTACCCAGGCTACCCTTAAAGACTAATAGTGAAAGGATAGCTTTAGTGACCTGGCTGTCTTCATTCTTTTGAAGGCGCAGAGATGCAGTCTTCTTTCAGCAGGCCCATTTTTTAGAAAAATGTATAAATGGAATGTATTTTAAAACTATTAATAAAAGTGCTTCAGTATAAAAAATCCATGAATGCCACTATTATCGTTACGAGCATTGTTCTGGCTATTAGGATAGTGTACATAGTGTACATGTTTAGGCTTACTTGAGATAGTGCCAAGCCAAAGGAGGGGAATGCGTACCTACATTTTATTTAACCTGAAGTAAACTATTCGACTGTAAGTAACCTGACCTTTTAGTCACGGGTAGAAGTATCGCCGTAGTTCTATTCATTTTTGATCAGTTTACAGAAATAGCTAGCCTGTCCCCTCAGGGCTGTTTGGGACTCCACTCTTAGAGAAATTAATATTCAACGATTTTTTGAGAGCACTACCAGCTGTTTAGATCTTCTGTGGTATATTGACTTTGTTGGCCATCAGTTGTAGGGAGTTCTTTTATTCATTACAGCTTGGGGCTCCTATAAAGACTCCGAGGATTGTTTTGCTAACGTTCCAAACTTAAAGTACACTCTTTTCATCTGCATTGAATAGCGAGATCAAGATGTTCTATATACCAGAACCACTCCACTTTATACGAGAAAACTTATGAGCTTACCCACCGTTATAAAATGGCTAACAGACTGACGTTCTGCATTTATCTTGGGTTTTCTGCCCCAGATTGTGTTTACCCCATATTTATGCATTTCATATTTTTGCAGAGTAAGTGTAGCGACGAGGATTTAAAAAAATTAACTCAGCAAATTGATTATAGGTCAGAGATTTTATATACACACGAGAATGTTCTCACACTAGGGTAGAACAAAAATATAGAGTGGAAGATGCCGACATTCTGAAGAAAACTCTTAAGCACACTAAAGTATAGAGAATATGTTCTCGGGCTTAGTCGTTCGGTGCTTGAGGATGAATGCGGCAATTCGGAAGTTTAAACTGGGTTCGGATTTACCTTATAAAATAGCATGTACGCGCACTCTGGACCCTGGAAGACGCCACTAAAAGCAGTAACATCGACTTCGGTGACGACGTTGTCATTGAAATCAAACCATTTGCCATATTCAACTGCATTTGCGGCCGGTGGTGGTGGCGTAACGCTGTCAACGCTGCTGGCACTGCTGATGTTGCTGCCTCTTGACCTCATATGCTCGCTGGTGTGGCCCTGGTTGCGAGTACGTCGGGCTTTGATTATGGAAGTCATACCAAAGTTTATTGATAGGGAGTCTTTCATCTTTAATCCTCTTGATGGCATGTCCTGTCCCACTCTGCCTCCGTGCACTGCTTCTTCCTGCCCACTGGAGGCCGCAGTGTCAGAACGATCGGATATATCCTGCAGAAACATGGTCGACGCGTGACTTTGACGATGTCGTTGTAGATATGGCATCTCCTGTTTCATGTCATCCACCATCCCCGGTGTGGCCTGCGCAAACAGTTTTGAGCGCCAAACTGTGGTGCGAGGGGTCCCGGGGTCAAAGTGCTCGTTGGAAGCCGTCCGTATGACCCGGTTGTCCCCATTGTTGTGGCTCGTGGTAAGCGCCTTCGGACAG